AATATTGTAACAATGGTCATTTGTGTGGGGAAATGGATTTTCGCTCACAGCATCGGTGACAGGTTCAGAATTATTTTGTTGTGGTGTTGGTAGTGATGGAAGTGGTGTAGTAATTGGTAATAGTGGTGTAGTAGTAGTAGTAGTTGTATTATTGTGGTAACAATGTGTTTTATGTCTCTGCATAATATGGAGTGATCATCATCAGGAGCGGAATCAACACGAGCGGGAGTGACCATGTCTAATAAGTTTCAGCTAGTGCATCCTTACATGGACCGTGCGTCTGTTGGCCCGTCCAACACAAACTGGAAACTGTGTGCCATATGCCAGGAGGATACAGCAGAGTCCCTTGTTTGCCCAGCAAATTCAAAACGCCCAATCATAGGGAGTGCGTAGAAGACACTGGCCGGGAATCTGATGCAGTTTGGAGAACTGGGCTTATTACCCATAACGCTGCAGATTGATAGACTTGATAAATGAGAGGGCATCGAGGCCACATTGGTTGCTCACAGAGCTGTATATCATAAACGATGCATGCTTCGTTATAATACTACAAAGTTGCAAAGAGCACAGAAGAGGCCAGCAGGAGGCAGCTCATCTGGTGTAGGCAATGCCGTGCCAGGAAAGTGCAGCAGGTCACGCCGTGGAGAATCAAGTACCTCTAGTCAACCCTCATGCTTCTGCTGCGGAATGTCTGATGTGGACACCTTACATGAAGCCACCACCTTCGAGATTGATCAGCGTGTGCGGCAGTGTGCAACACAAATTGGAGACCACGAACTGCTGGCACGGCTCAGCATGGGTGATATGCGGGCTCTTGATGCCAAGTATCATTCCAAGTGTTTAATGTCTCTCTACAATCGCGCAAAGGCCTCTGTCAATGCTGAACACAAAACTGGACATGAAAGTGTGGTCTCCGGAATTGTCGTGGCAGAACTTGCCTTTTACATTGAAGATACTCACCTGAAAGAGGACACATCTCCTGTATTCAGACTTGCCGACCTAGTAAACCTGTACGCGACCAGATTGGAGCACCTTGGAGTGCCCTTGGACACGAGAGTGAATACAACAAGGCTGAAAGAACGCCTACTAGCCCAGCTCCCAGGCCTACGTGCACAGAGCAAAGGACGAGATGTCGTTTTGGCATTTGATGAGGACATTGGCGAGGCACTTTGCAAAGCCTGTGAGCAGGACTGTGACAGTGAAGTAGTTCACCTCGCTC